TAAGGTTCAAATATCCACACTACAGACATAAAAATCCAGATCTTCAAAGACCCCAGGCTTGATTTTCTTTTTATCCATCCTCGCTGCTATAGCGCTGCGAGACATCTCCTTCCGCTTAGATCAGGGCCCTTTAGAGATATCCAAACATTCTATTGCAAATTTGCATAGCCCATAGTTAATAGTTCTAAAAAAACACTCGCACAAAATTCTACTCAAGGGCAGATACAAAGAAAATCAAGCCTGGGATCTTTGAAGATCTGGATTTTTATGTCTGTAGTGTGGATATTTGAACCTTAAGACCGTCAGTAGATACAGGACATTGTCTAGTGTCTGCGGTGCACAAATCTAGACTAAATCTCTTATCGTCATCGAGAAATGAATATTTTAATTTTACTCCCACATTTTCTCGGAACACTTTTTTTATTGTTGAACCCTAAGGAAAACTTTTAGGTCTGGAAGAGTTAAAATATGCATTTATAGCTAACTCAATATGCTCTGCAATATGAGGATACTTTGAAAAAAATCTGAGATGATTATTGAGCATGCTTTAGTAGCAGTAGATCGTATTTCTCATGCAGTGACTTCATGAGAGTAATATTATTTTTTTCAGAACTACTACTAATCGATGGGTGATTGCTTGGTTTCGAGTCCATTATCAATATACCTGTTTAGTTCCGTGTCAAAACCGTATTGCATCTAATCTACAAGTTCTACTCTATAACGTTACATACACACCACTTTATTTAAACACGACAGTAGTTACTTTTGTAGATGGTAGTGTTGCTACATACAGTATAATCGCTACTGCTGTTGTATATGTTTCATCTATACGTAAGCGATGCCATCATGCATTCACACAAAAAAAAAAATGCTTTTCGTTTGTTTAGTGCCATATACCGGTTCAGATGCAATAAGTGAGTATGAACAAGTGTCTGTTATCTTGTACCAGAGCTCCTAATCGGGTGAATTTCTGATGGCCCGCCTGGACCAAGCCGGGTCAAGAAAAGTCGAGGCCTGCCCAACCCATCATGCTAATCGATTGGCCCGGCCCGGTTAGTAGTCTTTCCTGGACCGCCCGGCTTGAGCCCGACTGTAAATTCTTTCTAGACTCAATTAAATTTTGTTATGGCAAAAACGCAGTAAAACCTTTGCTAAAGATTAGTTCAGCAGCATATACATATTGGACAGCACATATTCGAGAATCTATTGTACAATAAACTTGGTAAATGATAGAATTCCTTTAGATGGTGTATTTGTTTCTTCTTCTATCATTAGTCACCTGAATTGACCACTAATCAAACTCTTTTTTTCTCAACAGAATTCACTAAATAATAATAACATATTGTGACTACGAAATATCCAAATTTAACTGAAAATATGGAGAAAATTTTTAAAATTCTCGGGCCGGGCCGGACCTTAAAAAACGCTGACCCGACCGAGCTAAAAACTTTTCTCGGACGGCCCACTCGGCCTGAGAAAAAAAAAGCGACTGGCTCGGCCCGGCCTGGTCCGAGGCGGGTCGACTCCGGGTGGAGTCATCTAGTCGGGTGGATAGGCAGGAGTTCTGTCTTGTACCATTTTTCTTCTTTAAAGATACATCAATCTGTTCTGTGCCAACAACTGCTACATGGAATAACACGGCCCGTACAATTCCATTTGGAAATATGTCGGCGACTGTCTTTATCGATACTTTCGATACAGCTTACATAGTCGATTTTGCTGGTAATCAAGTATTTAAATTTTTGAAAGGTGCAACCAATGCTACTGTCATTGCGAATGCTACTGAACCGACGGATATTGTTGTTGATACAAGTGGAAATGTCTATATTGCTCAAGGACCTTTGCCACAAATTTTGAAACTATCGACCAACGGTACTCTATTAACATTTACAAATGTCAGCGGATATGGGGGCTCATGGGGTTTAGCTATTGATTCAAGCGATAACATTTATATATCGGACTACGATGGTAATCGTGTACTAAAACTCTCCTCGACGGGAAGTGGTAATGGAACGGTTGTGGCTGGTGGAAATGGAGCAGGCAACAGTTCAAATCAATTGAATAATCCTATTAACATTGCTGTTGATTCCAGTGGAAGTCTCTATATACTTGACGCTGGAAATGCACGAATTCAGAAATGGTTATCGGGCGCTACGACGGGCACGACACTGATAACGGGACTACTGGCAGCACAATCTATTAGAGTCGATTGTAACAACTATCTTTATGTCACTAATGGTTCAAATATTCTCCGATTTCCATCTAATTCTACTAATGGAACAGCTGTAATTTCGGGACTAAATTTTCCAACATCAGTTAGTTTTGACTCGGGAGTAAACATGTACGTTGTGGACACGTACCTGTCAATATTTAACGTTCTTTAAGCGAACTAACTTTTAACAAATATTTCATTAATTTTTATTCCTGCTCCACATTCTGCATTATTTTTTCATGTATTTTGGATGACGGTACTGCTTTTTTCCTGTAATTATTTTTGAAAAACGATTATTACAATTTTGCTAATTATGTGGACGGATGCAACAGTCATCCAAAGTAAATCAAAGTAGCAAAGTAAAGTTTTAAGTATTTTTAGACTGATTAGTTGGAGTTCTAAATTTCTTTTTTTTTGTTGTTATTAAGCTGTTTTATATTTTAAAATTTTGAATACATAAGTAGAAGTAGAAAACTAAACAGGATGTTATATTTTTCAGCCTTTTAGATTGAAATTTCGCTAGAAATACTAAAAACTTTTCTTCAAAACATAGGTGTCATGTATCGGATCGGAACGTCATCTTTCTATAAAAGATAGATCGTTATAAGAATATTGATTCGGGATGCTTATCACGATCATCCAGAGTCTACGGACTGGTTTCGTCTTATGCATCAGTATTCATCTACTGATGATAAAATTTGGATGTAGACAAAAGTTTTCATGCATCAGATAAATGTTAAATAAATTTTGTTTTACAACCGGTCTTTTGGGTTATAGAAAAGCTCAAGCCTTGAAAACTTGAACCGGTTCTTACCACACGGGCAGTCCTCGACACTGGCTTTCTCTAACTCTTCTTGCAACACAGTTGAGAGTATTACGTCAGACGTCACCGAAATAATTCGGTGATTCGGTCTTCAGTGGTGATCATGCATCTACTTAGTAATTGTCGTCTTGACGCTTAACCAGAGAAAAGACAAATTCGTTATCGCAATTTCTCTATGAGTCATTCAAGTTTAGTGTGGTTATTGAAAGAAAAGGATTTAGAAAAGGATGAAAGACAGTCTCGAGGATTTTGCGAGTAATAAGGGTCAGTTCAAGTTTCCAAGACTTGAGAGTTTTTCAAATCGAAAGTGGTTGTAAAAAAAAATTTATTTAGTTCAAACAATTTGAATTTAAAATATCAAAATCAGTTAAATGTAAGATTAATAGATAATGTTCGTCTGAATTTAGTTTAATTCCGGTGGGACACATCAAATCGTATCTCTAAAAACAAGTAATGTAGTATGTAGTCGTCTTCAGTTAGTGTGCATAGTATTTGACAGTCGAATCTTTTGCAGTTTATATCTGATCTTTCCGGTTTTCGAAGTAGAGTTACATAAGAAGATCAGTCATGTACAGAATATGTGCACAGCAATTTTAGTAATGAAGGGGGCGACAAGGTAACGAGAAACAAGTATACCAGTTTTATTCCATTTTAAATTATCTAAGAAGAGAAACCAAGAGAGATGTGACTATTTATTTATTTATTTTTGATGGCAAAGAGAAGGGACATAGACAACTATATTATAAATGCCTATTCCATGGAACACAGATGCACACAAAGAGAAAGAAGAAAAAGAGAGGGGGAGATACAAATTACTAGTTCTTAGAGGAACTGTTGTGTTTTAAAGGAAGACATTTATTACGAGCATAGCTGCTACCTTTTCCGGACAAATTTCGTTCGTTTTTTTTTCGTTCGAATTTTTTTCGGAATTTGTTCGGATTTTGAGAAAATATCACCGGAAAAAAAATAAAGTTGGTTTAGAGTTGCTGAAAAGTGGTTTTTCGTATTCATCACACTCGATAACCCAGAAGATTTTCTGTTTTTGGCCCGTGGTACTTCCGAAAGTTTAGGAAAAGTTTTCAAATTAATATTATTTTTTCATGGAAAACTTTTTGCGCCATTTTGTTTCAAAATTTTTCTTAAACTTTCGGAAGTACCCCGGGCCAAAATTAGAAAATCTTTTGGGTTATCGAGTATGATGAATACGAAAAATCACTTTTCAGCAACTCTAAATCAACTTTATTTTTTTTGTTCCGGTGATATGTTTGCTACTTTTCCATGATCACGAAGATTTTTAAGTGTTTTTTTATCTATAGTTTGTGGAGGTTGCCTTGTCATATTATAGGCCAACTAAAGTGGCAGTTACTTTTCGGATCAAAAATATACATTCTAAAAACAGCTTGTCGGTTAAAATCCAAATTTATATTTATGTTTGTTATTTTCTTGTATTTTATCGAGTAAAATCCTGCAGAGCTTTTGGTACTCTGCGCAGTAGAAAAATGTTAAATAATACAGTAAAAATGGATTTCCATTTTTTTTCCGGAGTTCTGAGTTGTACAGACGCAACTCTGGTAAAAAGCTACTTTGCTCAGAGTTCATAGAGTTACACGGAAAACGTGACCTTTTTGAACTTCTCGTTTAAATAATAGGCGACATGAGTTAGAGATTTAAAAAATTGTTTGCCTTGATTTTACGATAACAAAGATCTGCTTCCAGTTGCTGTCCAGATTAATCCCTTCAACATCGTCATTGATCCTAAGATTTACCAAAAATAAATGGCATTGAAACGATGAAAATGCTTTCCGAGAAAACGGACTTACATTTTCGTACTGGAAGCTGTGCTGATTCTTCTGTGGGATCACGAAACTACAAATGAATAAAGTTTAGCTTGAGTGTTTCTGTTGTTTTTCGTTTACACATGCTTACAAGAAATTAAACGCTCATTACGGTTTTCATCTTCCTTCCTATCTTACAAGTTAAAATTGTCCTTGAAAGTTAAAATTTGTCAGAGGTTCAAGCAATTTGTTCAGGGAGTTTTTGTGTATTCTTTTGATTTTTAAGAGACTATGACCGTTTTTCGTAGAGAACAGGACCTTCTTTAAATTTTCGAATATAATGTTTCATCCCTTCGTAATAAAGTTATTTCTTCTTTTCGCGATGATAAAAAAACATCATTTCATTCCTAGTTTTCCATAGGATCTTTGGAAAATCAGGTACGTTCTCAGAAAACTAGCATACAAAGTTAGTAATGCTCTTGTATGCATAGGTAGTCCGGACGTTATTCTACAAAATTATATAGTCCCAGCTCTCCAGCTATCGTCGTTCGGACAGAGCTAGCTTTCCCCGAGCACTTATCTATCTCCGAGCAGACATCTCTGGGAAACTCAAAGTGCCATGGAATATAGGTAATCGACTACGCTGAGCGTAGTGGCAACATTTGTTTTTGTGTAGAAATGAAAATAACTTCGCCAGAAGCATCTTTGTGAAAACTCGGTTTTTCGCCGGTTATCAGCAAAACTTAAAATCCTTATATCTCGATCAAATCTCATGCTGACTAAAGAAAACTTTCAGGAAACGTTACAGCAGCTCATAAAGCATAATGAAGACGAAAAAAGTAAATTTCAGCTGGGTATTGGGTTAAGGTCGTGCAGAAAGCTTCTGGAAAACCTCAAAGCCTCAGTGTTCGGTTGGACCACTTCTTCGACTTCATCAACAATATATGGCTCCTTTTGAGTCTTTCTTAAAAACGAGGGGCCCGCTTTTCCACTGCTTTTTCAACTTCGTTAAAATCACATTTTGTAGAGAAAACGATTTTACACATTTCAAAGCGCATATGAACCATTATAACATAAGGGCGTATCTTCGTGTTTTCCCTTTAGTTTTGCTGCTATGACCCCTTCGATAAATTGAATACTGCGCCATGAATAAATGTCGTAGAGAGCTGCGTAGAGAGCTGGGAGACGTCTCATTTTCTTCAGCAATGTTTGCTCTACATGTAGACGTATTTGTAAAGGATTTTTAGATTGAACTCGGGGACCTGGTTTTGGAATAGAACGTCTGTATACATCACCTGAGATCGGAAATTCTTTCAGCTAGTCAAATCTTTTTCCAAATTTATTACAGGCTATTATGTTCGACGAGAAAAATGAAAACTAAAGGTGGCGAACAATTTTTAGACCCACTGTGAGATTAAGTGGCAAAGTATTCAATACACAAAAGCCCCTGACAAGCTTCGTTAAGTTTCCTATTAACACATCTTGTAGAGCTTCTCAAGACGCATCAAATGATGCTGAATGATTAGAAATCTTCTTTGGTTTCATAGAGAAAAGTGATCAAGAGTTCCCTTGGCAGAGCCACGACCCATGGAAAAGTATTAAACTCATAAAACCTGCCCTCAGGCTTCGTCAAGTTTCGTATTAACAGATATTGTAGAGGTTTTCAAGAACTATTTTTTTATACTAAAAACTAGTTGGATCCTCTTTTATCTATGGGAGTAAATTGGCCAAAACATCAATTGCGTTGACTTTTAGGTTTCATTGGGTTCATATTCGACCTATAAAGAATTGAGCCGATGATGTATCGGGTTTGTTTAGTCAGAATATTGTAGAACTTTTCAAGAGCCATTTTGCTATGTCAAGCTTTACCATAACTTTTTATTATATTTCAAACGAAATGAATTTTATTAAGCACCGATATGCTTTATGTGCCTCCTCAGAAAAGATCTTTTAAAAAGTCTCCATAATGTTATAATGGTTCATATGCACTTCAAAATGTGTAAAATCGTTTTCTCTACAAAATGTGATCATAATAAAGTTGAAAAGCAGTGGGCTAAAAGCAGCGGAAAAGCTGGTCCCCTCCTTTTATTAGTCATATTGTCTACCTCTCATCTAATCTCCGCCTTTTTAAGCCCTCCTCCCCTTATGCCAGAAATCAGGCTTTTTTCTAAAACAGCGACTTTACAATGAACGTATGGTTAGACAGCCTAGTTCGTCTTCTTCTAGAACCTGTATCAGAATCGCCTACATCGAAAGTATTTAGTGGTTTTGAAAATGTTTTTAAAAAATCATGAAAAAACGATTTTTAACATTTATTACTTTCTCCCGCTAAGACACTTTTGAGCTCTACACTTCCCGCAAAGATTTCTGTTCAAAATGCCAGCTTTCTAAGATGCTTTAGTCAAAAGTCATTAGAGTTTTACGAAAAGTAGCAAATGCGTCTAGTATTCTCTTTTGTTCTATTTTCTATATAGACTTTTGCGCTGACGGTCCAGAATTTTTCGTTATAGTTCGCCGTACAAATTTAAATTTTCTTTTTGATTTGTAGAGGATAGTTATGCCGGAGATTGACAGAGATAGATCTGCGGTTTAACCCATCAGGCCAAAATGACCTTGTGAGAAGGATAAAAGTAAAGCTTTAAAGTATAAAAATCAAATTACCTATATAAAGAAAGGGTTATCACAAAGTTTTAATTAATCCCTAAAGATGTTAATTGTGAAATAATTACAGATGGCGCAACCATGATGATGTAACTTGTAATTCCTTTTCGCATAAATTGAATCAGAGACTAACCAAAACTTTGTGATAACCCTTTTTCTATATAGGCAATCTGAATTTTATACTTTAAAGCTTTACTTTTACCCTTCTCATGAGGCCATTTTGGTCATATGTTTATTTTTATAATAAAACAGAGTTTTCTGGAAAACTCTACTTAGCTTATAAGTTCGGAACCCTTGCACCTAGAGAGTTAAAATTTTTTTGTATAAATTTTATGTTAGGCCTGACAATCGCCTAAATTTTCGTTAAGATCAGATGTATGGTTCCCGAAACAGGATGCTGACATGGGGAGGGTGGATGGTTTAAGAGATATGACGGTCACTTGAGTCCAATGACCATGAATAGAGCCAAAGGCAGTCGGAAAAAAGGTAACTGTACACACTTATTTATGTCTCGTCATGGACTCAGTACTGCACTCGCGTTATACATTACAAAAATCAAACTTTGTTTCTTTTTCTGACGCAAGTGCGATGCGATACAAGAAAATTTTTGAAGTCAAATCCAGTCACGGTCTTATAAAGTTTTCGATTCAGTCTAGCACACATGGGAACTCCAACTCGTCCATGCGGAGCTGTAGTCCAAGATACATTAGCCCGACTGTGTTAAATTATTTTCATTTAAAATATACGAGTTAGCTTACGCTTAACAAGTGTAGGTCGAAAAAAAATTGAAAAAAATAAGCTGCTAAACCATGTTCTTTATTCAATTTTGTTTTCATTAATGAAGACGAACAGATCGTGTGATGGACTAGTTTGCACTGAACATTACAACTAAACAGACTTTGCAAATAAAACTATAGGATTGACACTAATCCAATATTGCACCATTACTTTTTAAAGGCTTTCAACTTTTTCTGGTTCTTTTCTTTTTAGAGCAAAACAAATGATAATTTGATTCTACCGTTGTTTGTTTTCAGTCGATGATTTATTCTATGAAAAGAACATTTATTTTGCACTTCGTTTATAATTCATACAGGTTTGAGTGAAGTTATTTGTTACTTTCACGCAGGTACGATTATCATTTCTTAAATTAGTAAAACTGGTGTCATGCAATCCCAGAAGAAGACTGTATCATTCATCCAAGTATTTTGAATAATTTAGTCCTTCTATAGTAGATGAGTGATGTGGGTAAAATTAAAATATTTTCTTTATTTTATTTTCCAGAAAAGTCATGATTTCCGAAATATATCTCACAACTTAGTTTCCTTGATGAGTTTTTTGTCACCCGAAGCGTCTTTCAGGATTTTTAAATATTGTTTCTCTTCTATGAGGATCTCAGTACATGGTCTAGATGCACCTTTTTCAAGCCCAATAAGGATATGACGTCTAAAACTAAAAACGTTGTGCCTTCACGAAGAAAGTCACTTTATTACAAATCATTGCACGCGCTTTTTCCCAAAATTCTTCAACAAATGCGTAAAAAAATTATTTTAATATTATTAAGATGACCCAGAAATGCAAATAATGCTCTCTCTTTTAGAAATACAGTGTTAGAGGGTTAAAAAATCTAAAACAATGTCCGCTTTGAAAAAATTTCATATTTTAAGTACTTTATAAGAAAGAAATTGTGTTCTCCTACGTTTCATTTATTATTCGAACTGAATTCTACATTGATTAACATAGTCCATATAACACTGAAGAGAAAGAGAGAAAGGGAGAAGAAAGTGTGAAAGAAACACGTTCCTTCACACTCTGCTGTAAGAAGAGTTCGAATCAATAAAATATTAATATATATGATATTAAGTAACATTTCATTAGTTTTTCTTCAAATTTTCAACCAATACTTAGTTTGCGGAATATCTGTATTTACTAGGGAAAAGTTGTTTCTAGAAGTTTACTCTCGATTCGAAACCTCACTAACTTTCTTCATTGCTCAGAAGCAGGCCCGCAGCCAGAGTTTTGCGACCTTTTTGCCTTTAGAGATAGTCTGAAGTCTTATCTATTAGCAACTTTTTCTGACGAGATTCAGTGCAAAAAATTCATGTTTTCAAAAGTCAAGGGAAGGACCGGTACCCCAATCCTCTCCTCCCTCTGGCTACGACCCTGCTTATAAGTTTGGGAAATAATTATATTTTGTTTTTTTTCAGAAAAGCTTGACTAATTGATATCATCTAGATTCATTCGATTAAAAAATATAAATGGCTTATAAATCACCGTGCATCAAGTGTCAAAAAGGTAATAGTATTCTAACCTGTAGTGGATGTCAAAAAATGTTTTGTCGAAAATGTACAAACGAACATCGGCTTGAACTAAATACCCAACTCGATCGTGTTGTCTACGAACACGATCTCATTCAACAACAACTCCAAGTAAAAGATCACAGTTCTTATAATTTTCTCTTTAATCAAATAAACAAATGGCAAACAGAATCGATTAACAAAGTAAAGCAAGCTGGCGACGAAGCACGACAAAATATTCGTCGATTACTTGATCAGAACAAAGATCAGTTAACCAAAGACTTGCGTAAATTAATCGATGAATTGAGAAAAAGTAAAAAAAGTGAAAATTACGTCGAAACAGATCTAGATAAATGGAAATTAGAATTACAAAAACTTAAAGAAGAACTGCAAATGGCATCGAATATCCGTTTAGAAACCCAAAATTCATCGTGGATTGACGTAATTAAAGTAGTCCCAAGATCTACAACAGATGATCAGGAGCTACAGCTCTTACATCATTCGCCTCACACTGCTACTTTAACGCATTCACCAACATTCGATAAACCGACACCAAGACGAGAAAATGAATTTGCTACAGATCTCTCAACAACTCTCATTGAAAGGGATACATTTGATGCAGCAAAGACCTATGGTCCAGTCAAGATCCAAGACAACGGCAAAGTAGCTGTACATGCTGGTTCCACAGACAGTGCCACAGAGATACGTGGGGCCCATCTGTATTCAACAGGGAAACATTTTATTCAACTCAAATTGGAGAAAATGCATCACGGTTACTCATTATTTGGTTTAATATCATCATCGATACCCGTGCAGGAAACATCTATTTCATCAAAAGCCACGTATGGCTGGGTACCAGGCAAAAGTAAGCAAGCCTGGCTGAAAGGATCAGGCAGTTCAGAGTACGGTGGATATGATGGTGATGTCGTGGAAAACGATGTTATCGGATTGTTACTCAACTGTGATAAGAAAACTATTCAGCTGTCCACTAAACGAACAAATAAACTCTATCAGATACCAATTGATGTCCATAGCTGTCCGTTTCCATGGCAACTATATCTTAGTCTCTACGAAGTAGGTGACATTGTACGTATTGTATGAGAAGATTGCCTTGTCTGGAAAATATTAAACGAACTGTCTCAACGAAGTTTACAAATCTGGTATTTTTGTTTTCATATCTTCTATAAAGTCATAAGGCTGTTTTTTCCAAACTTAAACGGAATACTTTACTCACCTAAAGCGAAATTTATTGCTGCAAATATCGAAATTTAGAACAATTGAATCCATCTTTCTCTCAATCGCTGTAACAACTATCAGCTGTGGAAGCGTACGCAAATGCGTTTCCTGAGAAACAGTTACGATTCTTCAGCTTTGGATGTATATCAACATGTAATATCAACCCCATCCGGATTCGAAAAATGTGCTTAGCACTATCGAACTGAAGAAGACTCTACAAAAAGATAGATATGAAACGATGTCATCAACCAATCCTAATATTTTCAAGTAACTTCAACAAAAACAGTAGACCCCAAGGTAGAGCTTCTTAATGATCAAGTAAGCCCCATACGCTAAACACATGATTGAAAAGCCTGATGTGCCTGCTCTTAGAATTCATACTATTTGTGCCAATATCAAAGGTTTCTATGGGAGTTTGAACAAATCTTCTAAACAAGAGCCTGATTTTTAATTTAGGCCGCCATTCGTTTACATTGTTGAAAGTTATACACCAGTTCTTCCGTTTTTTTCGAACTTTTCGGGTAAAATCCTTTGGAAAATAAAATAGAGAAAAAACTCAAAATCCGGCTCTTTTACGTCCTTACTCTAACTTCGTTGTATATTTTAAAATCAGCACGACCTCTCCAGCTGTTTTCTGAGAGAAGAAAACTGCCGGACGGTAAATGCCTCATTTCCATCCATGTTCAAGCGACATCTTATAAACAGTGAAAAACTAAAGACAAGAAATTTTACAGTATGAAAAAGCGGCAGACAATTAATGATTTAGTATAGTTTTAAAATTCAGTCTGAATAAGAAGTATAATTTTTATGCTGACTAACTAATTATTCGATGTGCATATTAACGATTGTTTGTTGATGTTTGTTGCACTGATGTAGTGACTGTCAAAGATAGTTCGACAGTTTGAGGTTCCGGATTGATAATGAATGTATAATTGTCTTGTCACAACTTTTATCGAACGAGGTCTTGTTTGTCCTTGATTAAAACTTCGACTACAGATATGTTATTAAGGCAGTCATGCTTGAAAACGTCTACTGTTCATGCAAGTAGTTCAGAGTTGTAACCGGGCTGGCAGACCGCACGATCATCGAGCGGCCGGTTTCGGTACCAGTCCGGTCTGGTATAAAAGTTTAGACCCGCCGGCCTCCATCGATCTTTTGCCGGTCTAGAAGGATTTTCAAACCGGCCGGTGATTGACCGGTTTTTTGCCGATTGAAATTCTTAGCATTAGGACCACATGAATATGGATCCTCGATCCATCTGCTTTGGTGGCTTGGATTTTTTGGATTTTCTAGTCTTACATCAATAAGCGAGATAAAATAAATTCTTAGCATTTTTCTCTTCTTCACTAAAAAAAGTGAGTTTTTCTACCCTCTTGTCCGTCTAGAAAATATTTAAACCGGCAGATTTTCTGCCGTTTTTTCACCGGTCTAAACATTTTTTCAAAACTGGCCGTTCTTTTGCAGTTTTTTAACCAGTCTAGAGAATTTTTGAAAATTAGCAAGTCTTTTGCCGGTTTCACAGGTCTAGCCGGTGGCCGGCAGGTCCAGCTCGCTCCGCTGTTTTGAATCGGCCGGCCCGGTCCGGACTCTTATTTTAGACCGGTTACAACTCAGAAGTAGCTGCATGCTTCTTTCGTAGAGATCCATCATGATAAATCCTATTCTAATACGATTTATATCGCGTCAATATCTGGACGATGATGCAGCCAAATTGTTAACAGATGTAATGAAGAACAATCAAAACGAAAAGTTTCGAAAATAAAAGAAAAGCAGAAAAAAAATAGAATGAGCAAAATCTATTTTCAATTCTACAAAAAACGAGTTTTGACATGAAAGCATTTACGAAAAAGCTAGAAACTTAAGTAAATAAATGAATTGAGAATCCTCCAAGGGGGAAAAGGCGACTTTTTCTTTCTTAGCATCGGAGAGTATCCGATGCCAAGCATCTCAAGCTCCAGAAAGCATTTCATGGGCTCCGGAAAGCTCTCGCAGCCGCCTTTCCCCCTAGGGATCCTCCCTGAAGCTTTTAGGCTGTTTCAACTAATTCATAACTAAGCAGAATTATAAAAAGCTGACAAAAATCTTATTCTTATATTTTTTAGGATAGATTCAGCGTTTCTTTTGTAAATAATTAACTGTTCTTGCTTCGACCTGCTCATCTACTTATGCTGAATGAATGTCTTGTACGACAGCTACAATATTTCAATACGCAAATAAAGGATATTCTCGATATGTTTCGCCTAATTTTTGCTGACAATCAAAAATAGTTGTTGATAGGCATGCACCAGTCCAATCCGATTGGGGATTGGTAGGATTGGTACCAGTCGGGGTTGTTACCAGTTAGGCTTGGTACCAATCCTACCAATCTCCAGTCAGGATTGGTATCAATCCTACCAATCTCCAGTGAGGATTGGTACCAGTCGGGCTTGTTATCAGTTAGGCTTGGCTTTCAAAAAATATACGAAATGCGAGACTTAGTTTTAAATAGCTACGTCGCATATAAAATCTTTGAGTGCAAATACAGCAGTCAGCAAATTCGTTTTTTTTTCTTCACCTTTCGATAAAGTTATGATTTCCATTTTGATTTTACAAAGTTTAAAACAGACACTTCGTGCCTTGGACTTAAAGGTTTCTGAAGATTGCTAGGACAGAACAGACACTAGGCAAAGGTTTGTTCATGTTTTTTTTCTTCGAAAATAATCAATAAATCGAAAATACACACAAATCAACCTAGAATATATCTTAATAAAATGATTAAACAAAACAAAAACCACCTGCTCTGTGCACAAAGTTAATCATTATGATTAGGCATGCACCAGTTCCAATCTTAGGCTTGGAGGATTGGCACAATCAGGATTGGTACCAAGCCGGGATTGGTACCAGTTAGGCTTGGTAACAATCCCAACAATCTCCAGTTAGGCTTGGTAACAATTCCAACAATCACCAGTTAGGCTTGGTACCAATCCCAACAATCTCCAGTTAGCCTTGGTACCAATCCTGATTGTACCAATCCTCCAAGCCTAAGATTGGAACTGGTGCATGCCTAGTTGTTGATTCTCTTGGAGAAATTTTGTATTTACTCAAGTTCTATGTCATTTCGACAAATATACAGTATGTCCTTACCCAACGACGATGAATATGAGGATGAATTTCATAGTTTGCCACACGTCGACTTTTAGTCATATGACTTTCACTCCGTGGATCCATGAAAACTGACAAAATATGTGTACTTACTCTGGCAGTCCGCAATTTAACAAGGGCTAATCCTTCCAGCAAAATGCAAATAGCGGACTGCCAGAGTAAGTACACATATTTTGTCAGTTTTCATGAATTCACAGAGTGACAGTCATATGACTAAAAGTCGACGTGTGGCAAACTATGAACTTCATTCTCGTATTCATCGTCGTTGGGTAAGGACATACTGTATATTTGTCGAAATTATATAGAACTTGAGTAAATATAAAATTTCTCCAAGAGAATCAACAACTATTTTTGATTGTCAGTAAAAATTAGGCGAAACATATCGAGAATATCCTTTATTTGCGTATTGAAATATTGTAGCTGTCGTACAAGACATTCATTCAGCATAAGTAGATGAGCAGGTAGAAGGAAGAACAATTAATTAATCAGAAATTTGCGGGCTACAATCATGCCTCATTAGAAAAGGTTTTGGTTATATTTTAGAATTCTTGAAAAACTGGTTTTCCAGAAAACCGGGTCTTCAGCAATCATGGGCACGAACCTTTTAGGGTATTTACTACCTCAGTGAGATCTATCGATCCATGTACAAGTCACTGGAATCGAAAGGTTTCCTCGTATAAAATCTCTGTATTTTGTAAGTGGAAGCTAAACCGAACCATTTTGCTTTATTTATATGAAGCTTCGCATACATCATTCTCCCACACCTGCCTTAGAGTATTCGTGCAGGTCTAACAATTTCTGTTTCTATTGAAACGAAACAGGTATACAATTCGTGATTTTGTATCTAACAATCTAAATTTTATCTATTTGTGATATATTTGCTCATGTTCGTTTCTTTCCCATCACATTACAATAAATATAATATCAATGTTGTTTGTAACGGCTAAAATTACAGGAGAAACAGAGAAAGAATGAAAAAGACAAGAACGAACAGGTGAATAAAAGCACATGCAAACATATCAGTAAGACAGATACCTACTACTTTTAACTGAAGCTTGAGATTAAAATACTCTTGTATAGAGAGATAGAAACATATTGACTTACTTTTAACGGTGAACAATGGTAGCAAAAGCAAACAAGAATTGGATACTTGAATTGGGCAAAAGACCCGATGCCATGTCAATCATTGATCCACCATTAACTTTAGCCAATGATCGGTTGTTAAGTTCGTTATTATGTATGACATTAGGCGAAACGATAGGGAAACATTTTAATTATCAACCAGAACCATATCTTGTCGAAGTTCTGGAGAAAGAGATGCGTTGTAATCGTCTATCTGGATTAAGTTTAAGTTGGACAAATGATGTATCTCTTACACTTTGCATGTTGATCAGTTTAATTTATGAACGTGGTTTAAATCTTTATCACGTCTATCGGATGTATAAAAATTGGTGGATGAACGGTTTCATGTCATCGGTAGGTCTCGCTTATTCACCACCATTACCACTCAAATACAAACTCGAACAATTCTCTATACAATTGGAGATTGGTAAGGGCGAAGAAAATATGACGGATCCACAACATGGAAGAGATGTGCCAATAGCCATACTTTTACGTCTATCGCCATTGGCCTATTTCTACTACCGTTCAATAAATGATGCTCGCTTATACACCGACAAATGTGTGAAAATCATATACACTGACGACAATGATGTGAGAGATGCATGTCAAAAGTATATTGAATTATTGTGTCTAGCATTACAAGGAAAGTCTAAAAATGACTTATTATGCATACTTCAAGTAGAAAATAAACAACAGGACACGTCTGAGATTTTACGAGCATTAGAAAATGTTCTTTGGCTTCTAAAAAATGATGAAAACTCATTTGAATATGGTGTAAGAAAAGCAGTACAAAAATTTAATAATGATTCTGAGACTAACGAAAAATGGTCAAATCCATGTTACCCATCGAATATTACCTTGTTACTCTACATGCAAATAGCTGGCGCTCTATATAAAATCGATGAAGTGCCTCAAATGTGGTTGAATGATATTTATGCTAAAGACTTGTTAACTTGTCTCGCTAAATGGGTCAGTTATGAAGGTGAACAATGGTGTAACGAACATGGTCAGTCATCCACTACTCACGAAACTTAATCATAAGAATTTTAACACTTATTCTTCTGTTTATGAGGAATCGTACGCACAAGAATATTTGCATATGGAAACGACAAATAAAAAAAGAACTTCGCTGAAGAAGTTTATTATTTGCGGTCAAAAACGACTAGAGTGTAGTTTCACAAAATGTTTTACGACTAATAAGCAAAGTCATTGCATAGTGTGTTTTTCCTTACTCTTTCATTTGATAGAATCCGATTACTGAAATTTCGCCACCTGACTTTCGGCAAAATCGAAATTCCGAAATACTTTCGACAATATTGTTAAATTTCGCCTAGAATTGCGACAGTAAAAGTTATATAACCCCGATGATCGTAGTTTTTATTTGTACTCCAGCACTACTACTTGTAGAATTGCTAATAGAGTAATAATTATTACTGTTGAAATTCTTTTGGAATTTTGATATTGTCGAAATTCATGTGACGAAACTCCGGTTGGCGAAATTCCGATTCACTATAAAATCGTCAATTTAAAGTACGTTGCAATGAAAGCAAGCGATATTTGCCAGGTGATTTCGAAATTTGGAGGAAGGGAAAGAGTGGGACTGACGAGGGAACCTTTCGAGGTGATTAAACGCTTTTTGCTCGGAATCTAGTGGGTTATAGGTTATCGACCATGCTGATTACGAATATGACCATGAGGGTTGCCCTTAGCCCTTCGAAGATCGTTCGGATTATATTTTAGAGTTTCTGAAAAACTGGTTTTCTAGAAAACCAGATCTTCGAAGGGCTAAGGGCAACTCTCATGGTCATATTCGTAATCAGCATGGTCGATAACCTATAACCCACTAGATTCCGAGCAAAAAAGCGTTTAATCACCTCGAAAGGTTCTGTCGTGAGTATAGGTAGGATATAATCCAAGGAGAGAACAGCTGATTTTGGGATCGTCTGATGCAAAAGACACCTTTCCAGGCTGTTTACTTTTGAGAACAGCCTAAGAAGAAAAAGCATGAATCTGCCGCCCGAATAATTTTAGTACTCACTGGAATGGCAGCTCGCCAAGCTCGATCGATATAGACCTTAAAATAGTTAATCAATTAATTATTAAAATAATAATGCATTTTGAGACCTAGAAAATATGAAGAGTCCAGTTGAACTATATAAAATAAAGTATTTTATTCATGTACATCAAAGAAAAACATTTTACAGCGGACTCGATTTGTGGACATTTTCTACCCCCATCCTATCTCCACGATTATGTTTTGACCTCGGTAGATAATCAAAAGCTTTCACAGATTCTTGAGCGAGTGTTTTTCGTTGTGACCAGAGATAAAAATAGATAAATGTCTTTAGAAAGGTTAATTCTGGTGATTGTTAACGCATATAATGACGATGTTGTGAGGACAATGGTTGACAAGAAATCACTGCACGAAATTCCTGACGAAATATTGAGCCGCTAATACAGTAAAGTAAAAAGTTAACAGAATGACATAAATAAAATAGAAGTTTCAATAGTGTCCAATGAATGAAGTACCATGGTAATAACTGAAATGTTGGTGGAGCAAGTGCAGTATAAACACTTGCTGGTGAAGTTAAAATAGTATAGAATATACTAACCGTTAATAACATACGGGTAATATTTCTTTTTTTTGATGATTTTTTACTTTGACTACGTTTCGTTGATCGATGAATGGTACGTATGAGTAGAGCATTGAATATAATCATTAAAATAAATGGTAACAATGTAAATAGAAACAATGATATTTTACCGTAATATTCACTACGAAATTTATAATAATATGGATAACGTTCTTTATTTACAGTACATTCCATTTTTTGTTCAGACTTAGGTCGTGTATCGGATAATGTGTATTCATAGTAAATTAAAAAATGTAATTCACATAAACAAATGGTAAAAATAATAAAAAATAATTGAATAAGGACATTCTTTCGCGTACATATACACTTTTTTGCTACATACAAATATCGCTGAATTGTCACTACCACAAACAGAACAGATGATAGGCGAAGAAAAACATAGGTCAAGTAGATATGAATACGACATGATATTGTTAGATAATATGGATTTGTAATAAAAGAATCCATTGTACGAATATCAATGTTGAATGCATCGATAAGAAATTGTCGCAGAAGACCAGTAAAACACGTTCCAACTTCAACTATACATAATATGGCTAAATAATGTGTGGTTGTTTGTTTACGTAAACGTCGACTTACTAATACAAAAAATGAGAGTAAATTACCGATACCACATAATGTTAGAATGATCGGTGATACAATTTTAGATATGGTCTTTGTTATTTTAATATAGTAAGATAAATCTTCAGATAAAGATGCAGCTATTGAATTATTCATTGTATGTCAGTCTAAAATGGCAAACTCAAGAGAAAGTTTAACTGAAAATATGCTGTGTACGAAAAATACAACAATCATCTTTGATATCATGGTGTGAAATATGTCCACTCATCATCACCATAGGTTTACTTTCACAACTTCCGTCCTGATGATATACGCATGACTTCATCCCGTTTTCGTCTTCTGTCGCATATATTACGTGTGGAATTGAACTAGCAGTTCGACAAAATACTTTTTTATTTATTAAGTGTAGAAATAAAGGAAAACATGAACATGCAAAAAGAACGTAAAAAAGTAGAACGGTACGAAGCATTTTTTTTAGTGAGGAGTACTTCGTATGTTACAAAACAAGCTTGATATACAATTAAAGGATATAAATTAAGGAACTATTGCTAAAAATATAAATAAAATTTACTCTAAAACATCTTCTACAGTCGGTCTGATGAAGTTTCACAAGCACATGTTATGTAAAAATGCTCTTGAAATAATTTACAAATCATGTGTTCTATCTGTTTTTAACTATGACTGGATCATTTTCTCATTGACTACCTTGGTTAATTTAAATAAATTAGAGAATGTACAATACGAAGCGGCCCGAGCTATTCTTGGAGTAATGAAAGGAACATCTAACGGGAAAATTTACAGAGTGTTGGGAATCCCAACACTCTGTAAATTTTCTCTTTAGATCTAAGGCGATCCATCCCAAGTTGGGATGGATCGCCTTAGATGATCATTTTAAAATATTACGACTTTTGACCTTTTCTTAAATAACGAAAGGTCTTGACCTAACTATCTTAGCAAACATTTACAGACTCATAAACCTCATAGTAGATATAGTTTACGTAGTAATGAGACCACCACTTTTGAGGCAATTGATAGTACTAATAAAGATTTTTTCACCGTTGCATCAGAAGAATGAAACGATCATTTAAAAAAAAGTGCAAGTTTTTTACGTATGAATATCTCTAAAATGCGGATTATGTTAAAAACTGAATTAATAATTGAAGTTTTTCCAAAACGTTTAAAATTTTTATCACGACGCACAACGGGCAACCACGTGGGCTTTAGGGGTAAAAGCGAAAGTACACTTTTACAAGATTTGAATAGCAGATCATATACTTCAACATAAGCTCTATTTAATTACCACGGGAAGTGTTTTTCTAAGTGTCATCTTAAATAAGAAAATCTTTATGCAAGTTTTCCTTTAAAAACAGACCTGTGAGTATAGAAATATTGTTTCTTCCGAAACTGAATATGCTAATCTCAACAATTATACATGATTCGAAACTATACCTGACACTCTATCTAATCGTAAAAACAACTTTTTCCCAGTACGTGTTGAAACCGAGAAAATATTTGTTCTTACTTCGTTAAGTGTTTTCTGAAAACGTATGTCTAGTAAAGTGAGGTTTCCATTTTTTTCCAAACTCTAAACTAAATGGAAATTCTACTTGTACAATTACATACATACATGTTGTACATTCTACTTCTATATGTAAAACATCGACAGAAGATAGTGCAAAGATGTGCGACATATCATTCGATGGAGAATTTCCTGCGCTGCAATTTCATGTATATATAATAGTGAAAAAAGTGTCCCAGGACACCTTGACATTAGAAGGTGAACTCAAGCAGTTTGTAATCTAAAAACTTTTGGAGTATTTAATTTGGCTACTTTACTATTACGCATACATTTAGATTCAATGAAACAAATAGCCTTGGCTATTAGGGTGATTATTAAAAGGACTAATTCTTCTAAATAATTCATCACATTTTTAATTAAATATGTTTAATTTGGATATTCTTTTCTATCATTGAAATGTCCTGTAGGGCGTTCATGAATGCATTTTGATTTATGAATTCGACTGTGTCTCAACTTGATAAATTTGACTTACAACTGTTTAGTAGTCACAGAAAAGTCGAGGTCATTATGGCCTATCATTCTAGATATCATTCACAGAGACTGGTGAGTCAAGAACTGAGATAAGCTGGGTAATTCTCGTATGCACCTCCATACTTGGAGAAAAAATAAGTCCGTCTCGGAGTGGGCAATTTTCCATAGGCAGGCGAGCATTTGGTGGTTTAACTCAGTTTTACTTAACTCAAAACAAAGCCTCAGTAGGTTTTCTTACATGCTCTTTCTTATGAGACCAGAAAATTTTCAAAAGTCCGGGTTTTGAGGGCTTTTCTACAGACCCGGACTCTGAACACCCCACGAAAAACCATGATGAAAATTTTAAATGCCACCATTAGATTCACTATGGTCGAAAACCTAGAGAAAACGGGTTTCCACTATTTCGGAACACTCGCAGATTACTGCAAAAAACTTCAGCTCAAACTTTAGAGGAAAACATTGGAAAAACGCTGTTTTTGGAAATTTGCGCAGACTTTCGTTCAAACTGGTTAAGGGACCCATCATTAGACGCAGTTTTCTACGCTGATCCCGAATATGTCCTTAGCTTTTAGATAGGATGTTTCCTAGCCGAGAAAAACGGAAAATACCACTGGAAAGCTAGGTTTCTTGTAAAATCTATAACTTTGCAATGGCAAAAAACGGCATGTTTCTGCACGTTTTATAGATGCACTACCTATAGGAGAATATTCTCTGAAAGTTTCATTGCGTTTACTCGTTAGCAATAGTTAGCGCGATTCAAACCGATAGGTTGTAGCCTCGGCTTTCAGAAGATCTATGTCAGAGTTTTTAATAACACTGCCTTACGAAACAGAAAAGCGGTTTTGCTAAAAGTATCGCAAAAACCGACCTAAAATTGAAACTTAGGCTTCTCGGCCAACTTAAGCACTTGGATCAAAATCTTTTTATCATTAAATCTACCATTGAATAGTGTATACATGACATTATTTGAATCCCGAAAAATCTCACTTTCGTTAATTCGCCTAATGTTCGCCTGATTGCCCACTGTGTGTCTTAACAAAATTTGAATAACTCGCAGAGAGTGACCCATAAGCGGCTTTCAACGGGTGATTTGCACAACAAACTTTTTCTTTTAAAACATATCTCTCACATTTAGAAAAATCTCAATTGTTCCGACAAGGTAAGGAAGCCGTCAAAATTATGTTCGGAGTAAATGGAGCGAACGGAGCATGTAAAGAGCTTCTCCTTGATATTTGTATAGGAGAGAAAAATATATAAAATCTAACTTTTCTTCTCCATTTTATTCATTTTTTTCTATAGCTTACTTTTTAGTAACTCTTATATATAGCATATCAAAGAACACATTAACAGTGCTAATTGATTATAGTAAATATATATATATATATATATTATACTCTAATAAATATATTATATATTATAATAAATATATTATATATATATTTATATTCAGATCATTTTATTTGTGCCAAAAGGTTCACAAAGGACAAATACAGAAAAAAACTATATATTTAATTTAAAATATATAGAACAGTATACAGGAGAGAGATGTAACTTCCAATCGATAAAAAAAATGAAAGTGTTCATTAAAAAAATCTGAATGGTACGTTTTGTTCCCCTGTCTTTGCCGAGTATCCTATAAAAATTTCTCAACTGTCAGACGCATACTGGCTGAGTTAGGAGGGAGACAATTTTCAGTTTTTGCCATAGAGAATTTTTGGCAGGATTTTGCTAGAAAAAGGGTTGAAATAGATGTATTCTACATCGTTCGACAGAGAATGATTCGAGCAGTACAGTGGGACTATGACAAATGCATCAAGCCGAAAAACCGCAGAAAAGTGTTTTCATTCTTTAGTATTCAAATCTAAAAAGTCCGAATTTCGTTATGTGATTCTATTTTCAGAATTATCCATTATTTTAGCAAAAACTATAGATTTTAGAGCTCCAACAATCAGGTAGTCAAACTCGGCGAAGTCTGAAGAGCCGACTGGTGTACGGTATTGATGATTTTCGTTTAGCTTTGACCAAAAATCTCACGAAAAAAGGTTGGTCTACATTTAGTTAAAAACAAAAGTCGGTCTACATTTTCCCCTATAATGTAAAAGTAGTAAGGAACAAAATGAGGATTCGACCTGAAACTACTTTTGCTAGTACAACTTTTGATGCTCTGTCTAGTGTAGAAGTTTCATCGAGAACGAATGCATACTTCATTAGTTCTGAGCAAAACAAGTTGCAAAAAGTCAGTCTACATTTAGAGCGGAAATTGACTTCCGCAAGAATGAAAGCTGTTTTTATCTCTACCAAATCATGTAAACTGACTTTTTTTAAATAGAGTTGGAGACCGACATCTGATCTACAATTTTAGCAACTCAAAAAATTTCTTCAGTGGCGGACTTTTGGGAAAAACTGTAAGAGAAGGTCGGTCTACAAAAAACGGAAAAGATGCTTGTAAAATGATTATATCTAAAGAACAACAAAAAAAAGTAAACAAAGTTGAACACTAATCATATGGTTAGATTCACAATTCAATTCTCTACAGGATGCACTGCTTTCCTTTTCTTTTTATATCTTTTTATATCATCAAAAATTCAGTTTTCAGATGATGAGTCATCAGAAAATTAACTTTTTTCAACTTTCGCGTCCCATAACTTTGCAACGAAAGGACGTATCGAGTAGAAAATTTTTGTGGAAGTGGGTAAAGTGCTAGGCAAAGCACAGGAAAAAATTCGCTCAAGCCAGCCTCTTGTAACCTGAGTTATTTATTATAGAAACATATCTAAACAAGTGATTGTACTAGAAAGTTACGGTTCTCTCAAAGATGTACATATGTCAAACAGAGATATGAGCAAAAAGAAAGTGTAATTCTATGCTCAGAAGAATTTCTCTTTTAGTTTTTGTTGTTAACAAGCTAAAAGTTAAGATAATAATATTAACAAGATGAATGTTTACAATAATTAATTATTTTCACACAACATACTTTACAGTATAAAAATGAATAAAAAACGTATAAAGTAAAATAATGAATAAAATGAAAAGAAGAGCGAAATCGGTTTTGAAACTTAGTTTCTATGGACAAAACGAAGAGCGTAACGCTGTTATGGAAAAAGCCTCTTTTTTTAAGGTGGTTTGAGATTTTTCACGCATTTTCTCAAAACAAATGATAAGAAGAATTTTCTTTTCAAGTCATTTTGTAGAATGAGGACATCCCCCGCCCCCCACTCAGAACTCTGAAGGCTAAATTTTCGTCCAAAAAATTGATTTTGAGATTTCAACCTAGAAATTCTTTGCAAATACGTCCATCGACCATTGAGAAAATATTTTTGAAGAAAACGAGACGTCTCCCAGCTCCTTACAAGATTTATTCATGGAGCAGCATTCAATTTAAGGAAGGCCCTAAGGACGTATCTTCGTGTTTTCCCTCGAGTTTGGCTGCTATGGGACCCCCCATAAACTGAATGCTGCTCCATGAATAAATCTTGTAAAGAGCTGGGAGACGTCTCGTTTTCTTCAAAAATATTTTCTCAATGGTCGATGAACATATTTGCAAAGAATTTCTAGATTGGACTATGGTACTTGGTTTTCCAGAGTCCCTGACTTCAGGAGTTTTGATGAAAACCCCGTATAAAACAATTAGAAGCGCTTGCTCATAATTTGCAAACTGCTATTCTTTTCTTTTGTATCTGTCTAACTTATTTGTCTCAATTATCAGTTTCGTTTAACATCGTTGTATTAATATAATTAGTGTGAATTTTTACCTTTACACTTGACATTCGAGCTTTTGTTCGAGCTTCTTGTATTTATATAGTTTTACGGTATTCGAGGCGAAAAGTATCATTAATATGATTTAACAACTATCTGCGAAAAACGTGAAAATACTTGTCTTATTTATTTTAATGTTTTTTATCTGTGTAAAAGAAGCTAGGTCAAATTTGACTTTTAACATGGAGACTGTTTGACATTGGCAGCAAAATAGGCTGCAGTATTAATATTTCCACCAGGATAATAATTTGCTGTCACATAACACGTTGTTCCATCCGATATACACGCTAAACCAATGCCCATCACTTGTGTACCTGCCCAAACCAGCTGTGTAAAATGACCTGTCGTGGACGTATATCCTGGATTTGACCAGTTATACGAGGAAATTTCATCATACCATGCATTTGAGGGCGATGAACCTTTGAACGACAAGAAAATTATAGTCAATAGTTAGAGAGACGAGAGAATCTTACCATTTATGTTGCTTGGATTGATCGCAACAGATGCTGAAGTGTCCCGGAGATTTTCACCAATATATTCTCCATTCATTGTATTACCACTATGTGCAGACGTATGAGTGGTAGCTAAATGTGAACTCCAACTTTGAGCAATTGTATTTAATGTTTCATTCAACATCAGAGCCGGTGCGCATTGTAAGGAACGATAATAATTATGTTGTGTCAAGGCTTGTTGTTGAAATACGATTGCATCCACATTTGCCACTAAATTTATAAGAAAACCATTTTTTTATGTTTCTATGAAGTGCCGGACGATAAAAGTTACGACCAATATCCAGATGTGTCAGAGATATTCCTCACTAGAGGAAAACCCTTTTTTGTTTCAAGTCTGATTTTAAAAGATTTCACAGGAACTTTTAGTGATGCTAGAACACGATAACGATATAAAAGCCAGCGTTATACGTTAAAGCCAGGATGTCTTCCAGATTTTCTAAAGCTTTTTGTGGCTTTTCGACACAAAAAAATACCTCATTTTACTTAGAATTTAATGGTGATTCCGAATATGTAATTCTTAAAACATACGGGTTATTATTGCTATTGTTGTGGTGGTTGTATATCCGGTGTTGGTGGTAATCGTAGCAGTTGAGGACAACGCTAAATTGAAATGCATTTCAAACTTAAATGGAGAATGTAACAAACTTTTAATTGTTCTAAAATCTCCCATGTCAGTTATAGAGATCTTTTGAAGCCCAGTTGATATTAACTTCAGCACAATGTTCGATAGGCCATTTCTATCTTTAAAATCCTTACTGGTTTTTGCAAGGCGAAAAAAGCGCACTCTGTCACTCCAGTCACTCCGCGGAGTAAAGCGCACTCCACTGCACTCAGTTCAATTGTCCGGAGTGGCGGAATGTGTTTTTTTCTTTTAGAATAAAGTAGTGACATTTCTCTCAATGATGATGGTCGATCGATTTAAAGCAGTTCAACCGTGTTTCTCCTTATACCAGTGTACTCATTCTAACTATGGAGGATATCGTCTATTACATAAGCAAGTGTACAAACTTTTCATTTTAATCCCGTTTACTCATTTCGAAATTATTAATCGAAATAGTAATACTACTCACACTAATCTATCCAATCATAAACGAGTATTTTTATTGTCAGCAACACGCTGTTTGTTTATGACGAAAGGACAGAAAACGATTTTTGTAAGAAAATGGTCCAGTATGATTTTGATAATTTGCGGGTGATGGGAAATACGTTTTCACTTCCCAACACTGCCCGCGCTCAAAAAGTGCTCCTAGTCTCCTTCAAAATAAACTTTCTTCTCATTTTGCGTCACCATTTGAACAATGGCCACTTACTTTGTTCCTCAAAGTTTCAATATGATTTCAGAATCATTTGATAAAAACTCATATACAAACAGATAGAGAATTGGCTACCCTACGAAATGAGCTATAAATAAGCTTTCGGGAACTATACCCCTACAGGACAATTGTCAAAATACTAGAGAAACATCATCATTTCCATCTGCATTACTGGACAAAACTATAGAACGATTTGTTTTAGGTATGTCTCCTCAACCATGCAAGAAAGAAAAAGTCTGAAAACTAGAATCAATCAATGATAGCGACGTCACAGCGATCGCGTAGCGCATTCACGCCGCGAATTCAGTATGACAGTCGATCTGGGGACCTTCATACTGAAAAAATTAAACACTTACTCATGTTACAGACCTGTTGAGTAAAAAGACAGACAAAGACAACTTGCTAATTCAGAAGCCTCTGATTTAGCTTTAAGCTGAATAAAATTTCTTAAGTCGGGTAGAATTTCGTCTTTTTCGCCTTTGCTGTTTTACTGTACCAGATTTTAAAGGCCCAAACTTTTGATCTCCCATGTCAGTTATAGAGACCAGTTGATAACTCAAACACAAGGTTTGATAGCTCACGTTTATTTTTAAATTCTGAGTAAAAAGATATCTTTTTTTCTGTCGAAAAGCCACTTTCATTTTTTACCCGGTTTTTGGCGCTCCTGTAGGATCGGAGGAACTTCGAAATAAAAACAAAGTAATCTATTGCATAACAAAGGTAAAGCGATATATTTTAGTGGCCTTATCCTGATTAGTTCATAAAAACATAACTTAACCAGTTAAATAATATATTGTTGCCACAATTTCGAATTAAACCCAAAGGTCCTAGTGGGACAACTTTTGCACATTCAGTGTGAAAGCTTAAAGATTTGTCTGAAGATCATTCGCAATGGCTGAAACAACTATGAAACGTAATTGTTACCTGTGTGACAAACTCTTCTGTCATTATGTTTAGGTCGATGACTAGAAAATTCTGAAGAATTATTCAAATACATGATCGAAAATAAACTGTTGCAATTGCAATTACCACTACACAATTGATGTTTTATGAGATTATATGCCAAGAAAAAGGCTGCTACACCTAACAACAGCTCGAAAGTGAATCTTATTATAACTGGTTATGTTTCTATAAACTAACCAGGATAAGGCCACTAAAATATATCGCTTTACCTTTGTTATGAAATAGATTATTTTCTTCTTATTGGGCAATGTGACAGTATATGTTTACCTGAATAGCTTCCGAGCCCCACGCCGACTGACTTCGATGTTAGAGCTAACACGTCCTGCATCTGGAAGGCCTCGTCAGGCGGATTTTAGAAGCTAAATTCGATATATCTCGAGAACGCAAAGCGATAGGATCAAGATTTCTTCAACGTATATAGTACTCAATGTCTAATGTATATATTAGACATTGAGTACTATATACGTTGAAGAAATCTTGATCTTATCTCTTTGCGTTCTCGAGATATATCGAATTTAGCTTCTAAAATCCGCCTGACGAGGCCTTCCAGATGCAGGACGTGTTAGCTCTAACATCGAAGTCAGTCGGGGTGGAGCTCGGAAGCTATTCAGGTAAACATATACTGTCAAGAAAATAATCTATTTCGTAACAAAGGTAAAGCGATATATTATTTTATTGCTTTGTATGCTAGTATATATTAGACATTGAGTACTATATACGTTGAAAAAATCTTGATCCTATCTCTTTGCGTTCTCGAGATATATCGATTTTATATCTTTTACCTATTTATTTTTTCGAATAATGTCGTTTGCACAAAATTCTCGTATCTACAAAACGAAAAGATGAAGAAAGCTAAAAGCTTGAATTCGTAGGTTTTCGAGTATGCTCTACAAGATGAGACTAGTTACAGCCACTTCAGAAAAACTGATTGAGCATGCTTCTGGGGCAAACGGGCGTTTTTCTCGCGCAATGACTCCTACGGGCGCTAAAAACCGGATGAAAAATGAAAGTGGCTTTTCGACACAAAAAAATACCTCATTTTACTCAGAATTTAATGGTGATTCCGAATATGTAATTCTTAAAACATACGGGTTATTATTGCTATTGTTGTGGTGGTTGTATATCCGGTGTTGGTGGTAATCGTAGCAGTTGAGGACAACGCTAAATTGAAATGCATTTCAAACTTAAATGGAGAATGTAACAAACTTTTAATTGTTCTAAAATCTCCCATGTCAGTTATAGAGATCTTTTGAAGCCCAGTTGATATTAACTTCAGCACAATGTTCGATAGGCCATTTCTATCTTTAAAATCCTTACTGGTTTTTGCAAGGCGAAAAAAGCGCACTCTGTCACTCCAGTCACTCCGCGGAGTAAAGCGCACTCCACTGCACTCAGTTCAATTGTCCGGAGTGGCGGAATGTGTTTTTTTCTTTTAGAATAAAGTAGTGACATTTCTCTCAATGATGATGGTCGATCGATTTAAAGCAGTTCAACCGTGTTTCTCCTTATACCAGTGTACTCATTCTAACTATGGAGGATATCGTCTATTACATAAGCAAGTGTACAAACTTTTCATTTTAATCCCGTTTACTCATTTCGAAATTATTAATCGAAATAGTAATACTACTCACACTAATCTATCCAATCATAAACGAGTATTTTAACAGGCGTTTTTCTATCGCAATGACTCCTAGGGGCGCTAAAAACCAGATGAAAAATGAAAGCGGCTTTTCGACACAAAAAAATACCTCATTTTACTCAGAATTTAATGGTGATTCCGAATATGTAATTCTTTTTGAAAAATGTCGTCAGGCCTTATCGATACCTGTCCTTTCTAAACAGTATAAGTAAACCCCCCCCCAGAATAGAAGGGCATGGCTTTCTCTTGTGTCCCGTCGGATCAAACTTTTTAGGGTGGCCTTCTATTAAGAGTGGCCTTCTAAACCGACCTCCTAGATAGAATTTTCTAAAAG